CGCCATCACTGTCGCGATGGTCCTCTGTGTGTATACACAAATTTATGTATACACACATAGATCTGTTGAGAGAAGAGGAAGGAAGAGAGAAGAAAGATCCACCCATCGGCGTTGCCATTACCGTCGCGATGGTCCTCTGTGTGTATACACACATAGATTTGTCTCTGCTCTATCTCTTTCCTTTCCTCTCCTCTGTTGCTGTGGGTTTGTTTTTGGATTTGGTTTTGATTTTGAATTTTAGATTTTGATTTTAATTTTTTTTATTTGTGTAGATTTGGTAGATTTGTGTAGATCTGTGTAGATTTGGTTTTTTTTTTTTTTTTTTTTTTTTTGGTGTAAAATGGATCGGGGTGAGCCCCGACAGGAATAAAATGAGTTTGGTGTGCAGTTCGTCTTCTTTCTTCTTTGTTTTTGTTTTTTTTTTTGTGTGTAAGAATCATAATAATAATAATAATAATAATAAGATATTAAAGGTGAAAGCATGTGCCCTCGTGGGAGCAGCGGCAGATAAAGAAAAAAAGAAGATAAAAAATAAATAAAGGTAAAGTGGGAAAAGAATAAAAAAGAAAAAGGGATAGAAGTGGTATGGAATTTATTATTGGTTTAGACGGTGGGATAGAATTTCAGCAATAAGGCTCTGAACACTATCACAGACAACACTCTTTTTGAGGGAGGAGAACAACTCACAGACAACAAATGGGTTTAAAAATAAAAAAAGAGGAAGAGATAAAAAAAATAATAATAAATAAATAAATAAACAAAGAAGTAAAAATAAAAAGGAGTGGTTGTAAAGTGGTTGCACTACCGTGGCATGTTTTAAAAATAAAAAGGAGGAAGAGATAAAAAAAAATAATAATAATAAAGAAATAAATAAACAAAGTAGTAAAAATTAAAAGGAGTGGGTGAAGGCTAAAAGGCATCGGAAGGTGAGGAAGAGAGAGAAATCAGGATTGCTTTGGCTAGTGGTAGGACCCACCAGCACTATTCACTTAAAAAATGTGGAATGGTGAGCATGTGTTTTAAGCTTTAGCTCCAGCAGTATCAATGATCTCTGTCAATGATCACCCCAGAGAGAGAGAGAGCACATGCCGCCAGTAGAAGATGCCTTGTATATTCCATACAAAAGCTTGAGATCAAAATCATACAGGAAAAGCTTCAGCCCAGGTTTGATGCTCATCACAAGCTCCTGCTTGTTGGTTGGGACGCCCATGACAAGATACTGAAAACAGTCGGCCACATCGACGCTCTCCGCGAGCTCGGCCACTGCCTTCAAGACGGCTACGGCGTACGCCAGAACATCGCCGAGGGACGGCGCTTCCTTGTCCAAGCCAACGCTCGCGAGCTCGCCGCCGCTCGAACCGGCTTCTTCGGCCACATCGACGCTCTCCGTCTCGGAATGTGAACGTGACGGTAACGGCACTTGAAACTGAGTTAACCCGGGTGAGGATGAGAATGAGTTGGAGCTAGTTTCAGGTTCTGAATTGTGTGGTGGTTCAGTACTCATATTTCTACTGCCAACCCACTCAGTCATTTATTTATGCAGAGAACAAACAAGTGTACTTGTGCAGAGAGAGACGATGAAGATGAGAAACCAAAGAAAGAAGAGTGTATGGTATGTGTTTGTGGTATGTGTTGAAAAATCTAGCGGATTAGGTTGAGGTCCGGCGGGCGGCTAAGGTGAGGTTGCCGCCCGCCGGGGAAGCGAAAATACTAGGTTCTAAACCTGCTCTGATACCATGTAGAAAATTTAATGTATAAAGAGAAATAGAGAATTGTATTATTGATTGATGTATTGTGTTGTTGTATATTACAAATGGTGAGTGGCTCATTATATAGGAGAGGGTGAGTGTAGTAGGTGAGGAGTAGGTGAGGAGTAGGTGGTGGTAGGTGATGGTAAATTGGTGGTAGGTGATGGTAAATTCTAACGGTCATCACTTTCAACATCCTCTTCAATGGCTTGCCAGCCTTCTGGGTCGAAAGCTCTCAGAAACGCTCTCATTCTAATCTTCCAATACAAGTAATTACTTCCATCAAAGGTGGGAGCAAGGTGTAGATTCTGACCACGAGCAAATTCCACTGGCTTCGAAGAGGTTGAGTGAAAGTGGACCAAAATGCCATGAAAGCGCTGTACCCGTCTTCATTGGATTCAGTTTCTTCGGGTTCTTGCTCCGACCCGCTTTCATCATCCCAAGTCGCTGTGTAGACTTTCTTCCGATTCTTTTTCGAAGGACATTCAAAGGCAATATGTCCAAACCCTTGACATTCATAACACTTGACCCCTTGCCTCTTTACAATCTTCTTTTTAGTTTTTGGAGCAAGTTTTGGTGGAAAAGTTTTGGGTTTATCATTACTCTTGTCTTTTGAAATAGGGTCTCTGAAATTAGGCTTCTTTTTCTTTAAATTTTTTTTGAACTGTTTAGTAAACATAGCCGTCATCTCAGACTCTAAATCAAACTCAGTCTCAGGAGTTTTTGCAGTCTCATAAGCACTAGTGAAAGCCACACTATCTTTTTGTTTTTTCTTAGAAATCTGGTGGGCTTCATAAGTCTGCAAGTTTCCAACCAACTGATCAAGCTTGAGGGTATCAACATTCTGAGCCTCCTCAATGGCTGTCACTTTTGATTGGAACCTCTCGGGTAAAGACCTCAAAATTTTTCCAACAACTTTAGCTTTAGGGATTTTTTCACCGAGTGTGAAACAGGAATTCACGATGTCACTAAGTTTAGCATAGAAATCATCAAACGTCTCATTATCACGCATAAAAAGGGTTTCAAAGGCAGAGGTGAGACGTTGAAGTTTTGACCTTTTAACAGAAGTAGTACCCTCGTGAATCATTTCAAGAATGTTCCAAGCCTCTTTTGCTACCTCACACATGCAAATACGATGAAACTCTTCTGGTGTGACGGAGCAAAAAAGGGAATTGAGAGCCTTACTGTTCCAACTCGAGTTTTGATAATCGGTTGTGTCCCATTTATCAAGGGGTTTGGGAATATCAGTACCATCAATGGTGACAATAGGTTCACTCCACTCATAGATCACACAGTGTCAAACTTTCTTTTCGATGGATTTTAGAAATGCTTTCATACGAGCTTTCCAATAAGAATAGTTTGTACCATCAAGTAACGGAGGTCTATAGGTCGAGTTACCTTCATGAATTGAATCCATATCACCAATCACACAAAATCACACTCCTATAGTTTTGATAAAAACAAAGAGTGATCTGCTCTGATACCAATTGAAAAACCTAAGTGATTCGTGATTAGATTAAGATTTAATTACTCCAATTCCCAATCATTCAAAACTCACAATTTAAATCATCAAGCACTTACGAAAGTGATTTAGATTATTGTTTTTGAAAATAATAAATCGACACAAACGATTTTTACGTGGAAAAACCACAATTGAAGCACCTTCAATTGTGATAAAAAAAACCACGGGCGAAACGCTACTAATCAATTCACTACTGAAGAAATAAAGATTACAAAGATAACAAACAAATTAACCAAACGCTTCTAATTTGTCTTCAAATCTTCTGTATATTTTTCACCGCAACCTTCATCACGGAATTGATTAGATTGAAGTTGAATCCACAACTTCTATTTTCGAATCAACGACTATGCACAGTATCAAACTCCTTTAAAACACCACGCTTGAATATCCGGATTTCACCGAAAAAGAACACTCTTGAATATAACCAATCAACCTCCTTGATATGTGCTTAACAAAACATGAGTTTAATACTCATTCAAATCATCAAGGAAAACTCACAAAAAACTCCAAAAGAAAATCTCAAAAAACCTTAAAGTAGATCTCAAAACGTAATCCTAGTTTTGGACTAAAACTAGTATTTATAGAAAATTGGGACAACGAAGCTCGCTTGAGCGAAGACTCTCTCGCTTGAGCGAGGACTCTCTTGCTTGACCGAGGAACTAATCACGCGTGTTTTCCTTAAGTGGCTTCACTTGAGCCACGCTACCTGCGCTCGAGCGTACGTTCAGCACTCTCGGGTTTTTTACTGACGCAGCTTTCGCTCGAGCGAGGACTCCTTCGCTCGAGCGAGCAAGACAAAAACTTAGAAAAAATACAACTCGATAAAAACATGTTTGTCCATGGGATTGACAAGGCTAAGGGACCTAACAACGATGAAACTTATCATTAAGTTTTAGTTACTTGGTTAGTGACAAAACCTATCATAATTATACAAAAATGGTTGTTTGACACTTTTAGTGAAGGTTTTGAGAATAAAATTACAGACTCGATTTTTTTTTTTCCTTTCTTCTTGGGGCTTAGTTTTGAGCCCCATAGCTCATGGAATTCCTTGCTTGCTGCAAATTACAGATATGAGCTCTAGAAACTTATTTTATAATTTCAACCTTGATCCAAGTTCCATTCAAGACCTCTTTCAATAGCCTACCATTTGATTCCCTACCGGGCTACTTTAAATTGTTGGTAACACCTTAAAATGTTATAGTTTACCGGAAATTTGGTGATATGTGCACTTCACATTGTTATAGTTATCACATCATGATTTATTTAGTTCTTATTGGATCCTTGGCAATTTAAAGTCTAAAAGAAGACATTATCATGGTCAATTGCCATTCTTGGGTCCAGGAGGCTGTGTAATTGTACGGACAGATATAAACGGAACTGATAGTTTACTTTGGAAAGTTTAAATCAGTTTTCTTGTGCAGTGACATATTTTATCTGGAAGAATGGAATCAATTAATTGTGTTAGATGCAGTTGTGAATAGAACTCTCAAATTCTGTTTGTTCACAAATCACAGTCTTTTAATTCAAGGCTCATGTTCAAGTTATATCCGCTCTAGAACTTGAGTGTGGCTCCAGTGGTTGTACCTCTAGGTTTTTAAGGGGAGATTTCATGTTTAAGCTTATGGAGAAGCGTCAAACGGCTGATTGTGTATTTCTTTCTTTTTTTAATGAATTTTGGTTTCCACATGCAAACAGTAGTTTCCATAATTTGCTTCTTTTGTCGCATGCAGCCAATTTTGCAGAGAACACCAATTAGGGTACTTCATCGCCGAAGTCCGTTAGAGCGTGAAAAGATTATACATTGGTAAGAGAATTTCTAATTAAGTAGCATAATCCATGTGTTTTGAATCTCTAAAAAGACTTGTTTTCTGATATCAGGATGAAAATTGAGAGGATCGCTGGGAGTTCTCAATATTTTCTCCTGCATTTATGCACCCAGGTTCTCCATCAAATTTTCTCTATATGATGTAGTTATTTTTATCTTTTTTATGCTATTGACCAATTGGTGATCTGTTCTATTTATTCTCTATTATGACTGTTTTTTGAACTGTAATCCCAATAAGAGGTTATGTGGATGACGTTGAATTTCTTTTGGACTGTGAAAGAATGATATGCCATGAAATAACTGAGAAGAAATTGTGCAATGTGAGAGATATCTGATATGTTAGAATTGATAATGTAATACCTGAGAAGCAAAACTGGCCTGAAGGACTAGAAAAGGACTGTGACCACTTTGTGAATTATACCGAAGAGTGTATATTCTTTAATTATGGAAAACAGAAAGGTAATGACTATATTTGAAACACAGGCTGGGACGTACATCAAGGAATTTGTTCACGGGGATCTTGGACGCACCCATCCTAGGTATGCAACAGTTTTCTTGTTCATCCTCCTCCATTTTGTGTACTTTTATTATCGTACTACATTTTAATGTGTCTGACTAAATTGGCATGCATCTTTTACGAAAACTAGCGACGGGCATGCAAGGTGCTTGCAAAGATCTGTACTTTATGAATGAAAAAGATGATATATAAACCGTCCTTGTTTGTTGAGTTTAAAAATTTTGAATTAGTGATTTTTTCACATTCCAAATTGTTCACGCCAAATGAACATTAAGGGAAAAACGCAAGTGTCATAGGAATCTTTGATGAATGGCATTGCACAAATTTCAGATAAAAAAATAACTGGAGAAACCTTAGAATAAACCCCACAGTCTAGTTTGAGGAAATGAAGTAAAGTTACAACGTGAAGTTATAAAATGTCAAAAGCAAAATATAGTTTCACACATACAGAGACATCCATCCCATCCTATGTGTTATTAACTTTATGAATGTAATATTTGGCAATGTTGGCTCAATTCTAGGATGCCGAGCAGAGATACTGCAACTTGATGTCACAGATGTGAAAATGGACTGCTTCCTAACTGAATGAGGCTATCCAGTACTCCCCTGATAGTGCTCTCTCTTACATTTGACGTGAGGTTCGAAAATTTCAAGTATGCCATTTATTTATAGTCTATGACATGACATGAATTTTTGTTCATTACAATCGCCTCTCTCTCTGTTATTTTTCATTTGATTCAAACAATGAGGGAAGCATATGATATGAAAGATCTGTTCTTCGACTTCACAAAATAAAAAAATCACTTTGTGTTTCTGACTTATTTTTTGTCCAAAATTTTGTTTTGGTTTCTTCTGTTCTGTCTAAAATACTTATACATAAAAAAAGAAATTAGAAGCTTATATTAATACTCCGTTCTTTGCTTGAGGTGTTCATTTATGCAACATCAGCTTTCTCCGCTCTTTGTGCTGTGTGTTTTTTTTTCAATAGTAAATTAAAATACAATTAGCCCCACAAATATGATATAATTACACTAAGCTCTCCTAAGAAATAAATTTTCATAAATACTGACTCTTACATCAATCATATTGTTAATATTATGCATGAAAAACTATGTAAAAAATAAATAAATATTATGCATGAAAAATTATGCTTCATCTCCTTTATAGTAAAAAGTAAAATTTGATTATGCATATTCATTTCATGCACTGGTTACACTTGTTTTACTCTTACTAAAAGAGACGTTTGTATAATTATGTTAAGTATGTAGGGCTTTAGTTTACTTTGGAAAGTTTAAATCAGTTTTCTTGTGCAGTGACATATTTTATCTGGAAGAATGGAATCAATTAATTGTGTTAGATGCAGTTGTGAATAGAACTCTCAAATTCTGTTTGTTCACAAATCACAGTTTTTTATTCAAAGGCTCATGTTCAAGTTATATCCGCTCTAGAACGTGCCTAGAAAATGGCTTCATCGTCTTCCCGCGGGCTGCTCACCCTCTTTCCCGACCTCAACGAGTCAACGAGAGAGAGAACTGGTGCGG